GAAGTGGAGTGGCTAGAGCAGGAGCAAGCAGGCTCGCTTGGGCGGTTATTTCACACCTCTTCGCCTCAGCTCCGCTCGCAGACGCGGGGCGGGTGACCGCGCTCCACGCCGAATTCACGTTCGGGGCCTGGGGGCTGAGTCTGGTGCAAGGACCCAGGGTGGAAATGGTCCGTTCCAAAGGCTCTGCCAGCTGTGAGAGGAAGGTGGAATCAGAGCTAGCGGCCAACAGGGAACGCTGAACACACTCCACGTGGCACCGAGGCACAGAGTTAGCAGGTAGACGCTGGCGCTGGGCGAGCCCAGCTGAGGCCCAGGTCCCTGCCTCCCCTGAACCCTGACAGACACCCAGCGGGGTCGGCCCGGCCCACCTGGGCGTTAGCGCGGGGGAAATAGGCTGGGGTGTGCCGGGTGGTTTTTAGACTGTACCGAGGAACGCTGAACACACTCCACGTGGCACCGAGGCACAGAGTTAGCAGGTAGACGCTGGCGCTGGGCGAGCCCAGCTGAGGCCCAGGTCCCTGCCTCCCCTGAACCCTGACAGACACCCAGCGGGGTCGGCCCGGCCCACCTGGGCGTTAGCGCGGGGGAAATAGGCTGGGGTGTGCCGGGTGGTTTTTAGACTGTACCGAATGCCGGCTGGGGCACTCAGCCTGCGTTATTCTCACTTGCACCGGGTAGCTCCGGCGTGTACGGCAAGGCCCTTGTGACCCTCACTCTCCGGGCAGGACCGCGTGAAAGCTGCTCTCCTGCAGGCGCTATGCCCGTCCCGGCGGGATTACAATGGGCATTGGAGAGGACAAGGGAGTTTGCTGCTTCCCCCTTCCCCCAGGGGGAATTAACCCAGAACCCACTGCACCCAAGTTCTGGGAAAGTCTTTCAAACACCCGGAGCCCCAGCACCGACCACAGGGGGGCTGGGGGCTCAGCCCCACAACGTACACTGGGGCTCAGGTCTTTTGTCCCCCATGGGAGCGGATGCCCTGGCTAGAGCCCTGAGTCACCCGAGGAAGGGAGCCCTCCCTCCAGCAAATAATCGCTGAGAACTTAAGCCCTGCTTACAAGTGAATTCCTCCCGTCAGCTGAGCTTGCAGTTCAAAGCAGAAGTGGAGAATGGAAAAACAACAACCCACAAGGAGGAACAGCAACTTTCTGTGTTTGCACCATGAGGACAATGTTTCAGAGCATAAGCAAAACCAGTTCCCAGTGCTTAGCTTGGGTGCCCTACCGGACAGCTAGACTCTACAGCTTGCCAGCTATAGAAGCAGCTTTTATTTTGAAGCTTGAGATTTGTGCATTTCCTGCTGTCCCTTGTAATAATTCTCTGGTTTCCTTTTCCTACTTAATAAGCCTTTAGCTCGTCTATTGTAGGATTGGCTACAAATGCGTCTTTGGGGTGAGAGCTGAAGTCCAATTGGCCTGGGATACATGACAGATCCTTGAACCTGACTTGCTGGGACCATGTCACAAAGCAAGCAGGCTCCCCTGCATGGCGAGACAGACCAGCGTGCTCCTGGCGAGACAGACCAGCGTGCTCCTGGAGAGACAGACCAGCGCGCTCCTGGAGAGACAGACCAGCGCGCTCACTGTGATTCGCCGGGGTTGGACCTGCTTTGGGCAGGGGTCTGGACTCGATGACTCCTAAGGGCTCTTCCAGCCCAGGGATTTGAGGATTCTGTGACTCCATGCTTAGGAGGTTGCAGTGCCCAAGGAGTTCACACTTGGCCCTTGGTTGGGAACAGCCCGTCCCGGGCTCAGTATCACACTCCTGAGCCCCGCTGCGGCCCAGCTGGCCACAGTCACTGGGGGAAGTGCAGGAATGTGGGCCGGACGAGAGGCCTGTCTGGAAGAGGCTCAGAGAGGTGCAGGTGCCCGTGTCTGTCAATTGCTGCCTGCTCGGACCCCGGGGAGACGCCCCACACGGCGCCGCTCTGCACCCTGGCAGGGGCGGGCGGAGGGATGCTGGGGGCTCCCCATGGCGGGAGGGCGGGGGCGGGCAGGGGCTGAGCCCAGC